GTTTGTGTTGGGACAGGTTCTCACTGTGTAGCCTAGGCTGATTTCAAACTCATGGTGATCTTCCTGCCTCAGTTTCCAAAGTGCTGGGATTACAAATGTGTGCCACTACATTTGGCTTCTATCATCTCAAAAAGACCAAATGTGTGTGTGTGTAACACACACACACACACACACACACATATATACACACACACATATATATGGGTTTGAATGTATATTTGTAGACTGTTTTAAAGACTAAATTATATGCACATAACTCATAAAAACTAAGACTATTCGGTTTGACTATTTCTACATGAGGGTTTGAGAATATGCTTTTCAATTGCATTTTCTTTCTTCTCACCTTGTGCTTGTCCAGCAGTTGCTGGATTTCATCTTGTGAGGACACAATGATCTTCTGGTCTCCTGCCACCTTCTCCTGTCCTGTTTCCAGCAGGTCGGCCAGATCTTGCAGGGCTCTATCATACTGACTCTTCAGTGCAAGGTTTTGGTTGAGGTTGCTCCTTCGGGAGCTGATGGTCATCAATAGCTCATCATACATGTCCTGAGAGACAGAGGCAGCAACATTCACTCTGAAGTTACAAAGTTGCAGTATGATGAGTCTCTAAGAACCCATCCACTGCCTAGGACCCCACCCAGGATGCTCCTCTCCACACATTCTACAGGGATTCTCTGCATGGAGGCCAGCTGTTGTCTTTCTTAGGAGCCTCACTTGGAAATTCTTTCAAGAAAAAGGGACTCTGGACCTCTACTCCTATGTCTTTAATATGTATGCACAGGACCTGGTTTGATTAGAACGCAACACCTGATTGTTAAGTTCTGTCATTTCTCTTGTTCTGTATTCTTATTTATTTTTGCTTTAAATTTCATTTTGCTTTTAACTAATAAATAATAAATCACAGAGTTTGGGAAAAACTGAAGAAAAAGAGCTAAAGCCACAAAGATTTAAGGACAGGGTTATGGGGCAAAAAGGGATAAAAAAAATTCAGTAAATAATATAACATGAAAAAAAATGTTTGGAGAAAAGTGAAATTAGAGTTTTTATCTCATGTCAGACACCAAGACAATTCATCTGATTGAAAAATAAAAATTCAGGGCTGGGGATGTAGCTCAACGGTCCAGTATTGCACAGCATGTACAAGGCTCTGAGTTCAATCCCCAGTACCACAAAACAAATGAAAAACACTCAAATAAAAGTAAAATAAAAAAATGTAAATAAAGATGAAACACAAAAATTATCTAAAGGAAACACGTCTCTATAAAAAAACAAGCTTCATGTTGTAAGAATCCAAGCAATATCAAAAAGCATTTCCTAGAAATGGCTGCCATGTGCGGTACACTTGAGGACTGTCTTCTCAGGGTGCTAATGGTCCATGATGCGATATGGGGTTAAGTTACTGAAAATGAAGTCCATGGGACGAAGGGAGATGTAGAAAAATTAATTCTGATTGCTATAATGATCTCAGTGTTTATACAATCTTAGAGTAATTGAAGAGCGTATCCTTCAGATTTTTTGTCTGTTAATATCAGATTTTGGACTATCTTACAAATAAAGAGCTTAAAAAAAGAGCTGCTTAATGTGGGCAGTGAGACTTTAAGACTTAAAAAGGCAATGTTGTTGCCAAATGTGGTGGAGTAAACAAGTGTTTAATCTGGAAAGACGTTTTAGGAGATGGTGAGACACCAAACCAAAGATTTACTGGAGGCATACGGACCTAATTAATGCAGCATACTAGGGCAGGGCAGCCAAACCTGTTCAATCTGGAAAAGTTCAACTTTAACGCTTATTTACAGCTATGACGTTTGACTCTTACACCTGACACTGAAGTACTATGGGAAAACTAGAGGTGGAAAGTGGGGGCTGTTGGCCTGTGACTTTTAGTGATGTGAGTCGGAGGAATGAGACAGTAAAAATGAGAATGCCTTCTTGTTTATGAGAGCTGCTTTATTTTCTCAGAAGAAAGAACTTGTGACCCTGTACTTGACGCACTTCCGGCCTCAAATGTTCTGCAGCAAGGCCCAGAGAGAACATTTAACATGCTGTTGGCATGGCTATCCCCAACTATACATATTCTAAAGATACAGCATGTTTTCTGTCAGTGTAAAATTTCACTGTCTACTATTTCGGTATTTCCCTGAAGAGTTTTGTCTAGGTGGTAGATGTAGGGAAAAAAAAATTCCAGATAGTATTTTCTGTTCCTGAAGGATGAAGGAAAATCTACTTGGGCTTTCTAACTTCCTAGTTTTATTGCTTGCTGTTCTATAATTGAAACCTCTGTGTTACATTCACACATGTATGAATGACAAATTCCAGTTTTTGAAAAATCTTAACACTTTCCAAGAAAAGAATATCTTTTGAATTATTTCTGGAGATATATTACAATACTGGATAAAAATCCCCCCCTTTTAATTTTTCAAGGTAGGATTGATGATGACCATGATTATATTTTCAAGAGCAGAAAATAATAAGCTATCACAAAGCAAGAGCACAATCTTCAGCCATTATCATAAGAATACATGTCAGAAAAATATGAACCTGTCACACGTGGTGGCACAGACCTTAAATCTTAGCACTTGGGAGGCAGAGGCAGGCAGATCTCAGTGAGTTCTGTGAGTTTGAGGCCAGCTTGGTCTACATAGTGGAAGTTCCAGGTCAGCTGGAGCTACAAGGAGAGCATCTCAAAAAGACCAAAAAATAAATAAATAAATAAAAATAAATCTCAGGAGCATGAGAATATAACTCATTTTGTTGCATCATTAAAAAATGGTCAGAACTTGAAAAAGTTTTCTGTTACTTGTGAATAAAAGTAAAGACGCAAAACATACGACTTTCATTTTTTAAAATGCAAGGGAATCGTGGAGACAACTTTTTCTTATTTCAAATTAGGATGTGTGGCTAAGACCAAGTAGTGCTGATTAGAGATAGTACCCGGAGTTTGGAGAGTTCTTGCACGGCAGCCTGCTCAACCTGCAACTTGTCGCCACGCCTTTTCAATTCAGTGATTCCTGCGTCCAGTTCCTTCAGTCCCTCTTCAGCCTGTTGTACCGCCTAAGTAAAATTTATGACATTTCATTGAAACTCTTAGGAACAATTCCTCCTCACAAGAGGTGTTTATTTGACTATTCTTCCTACTTCTACCAAAACCAAAACCAAACCAAAACCAAAACAAAACAAAACAAAAAAATTAAATACGTAAGAAAGGACTAACTTCATCAAAATATAAGAAAGCATAATCAGGGGCTAGAGAGATGGCTCAGTGGTTGGGAGCACTGGCTGCTCTTGCAGAAGACCTAGGTTTGAATCCCAGCACCCGCATGGCAGCTAACAACCATTTGTAGCTCCAGTTCCAGGCATCTGACACCCTCTTCTGTCCTCTATGGGCATTGCACAACACAGGTGCACTTACATACATGCAGGCAGTACACTCATACACATAAAATAAATATAATAAATAAAATATTTATTAAAAGTATCACATAGGGAAAAGAAAAGAATGTCCTTTATTGTATTAATGTCAGCCTGTGAGGTAAAGATCAGAATAAGACAGAAGGCTGGACGGACGCCGTGCTGCGCAGCTTCAGTTGTCAACTTGACACAGAAAGAGGAAACCTCAGTTGGGGAATTTCTTCTATCAGATTGGCCTGCGGACATGTCTGTGAGGCATTCTCGTCATTGTTGAGTGATGTGGGAGGGCCAAGCCCTGGGCAGGGGGTCCTGTGTTGTTTAAGAAAGCAGGCTGAGAGCAGAGCAGAGGAGAAAGCCAGTAAGCAGCGTTCCTCCGTGGCCCTCCTGCTCTGACTTCCCTCAAGGGTAAATTGTGATCAAGATGTGTAAGCAAAATAAACCCTTTCCTCCTGAAGTTGGTTTTGCTCAGAGTGTTTCATCACAGCAATAGAACGCTAACTAGGACAGATGGCTTCGGTAAACAGACAAGGGAAGATGTGAACAGTCACGGTTAAAAAGGATGGAGCATGTAGGACCCAGTGAGAAAAAGGTATGTTTGTGTCTGAGATTCCTAAGGAACATGTCCGGGTTCTTGAAATGCAACGGAGAACATCTTCCAAGAGAGATGAGGCAATAGGAAGATGTGAGAAAAGCTTGGTCCTCAATGTGAAGAGGGAAAGAAAAAAAATCAATCAATTAGCAAGAAACCTTGTCTTCCCTGTGTGAGGTCCACATAGAAACAGAATGAGACCTTGTCCTGGATAGCAAGGAGCTAACAGTCTTATCAGGAAGCCAGTAGAAAACCAAACAAATCTAAATATGATTAAGTACTAAACTTCATGATGCAGTTCATCTCCCCTGGAGGAATGCAAGGGAGAGGTGCCAAAGCAGCAGATCCTGGTCTAAGCATGCTTTGGGAAGAAGTACAATCTCAGTTGCCCTTGACAGCAAAAAGAACCTA